TTTAAATAGAGTTTATGGTGACGTTGGAGATCTCGGTACATAATTTGGCGAGGACATACTGCGTGTGTTGTGGGTGTACTGTATACTGTATCTGAAGAGGTCCACTGGTCGGTGTGCGTTATTCACTTGTTTTGACTGTGAGAAGTAACTACGAACCCCTTTAATTAAGCGAGAAATTAATCCACTTATTCTAAGCTGACGATCACAGGTTGTCGTTGTGGGAACGTTAGGTTTGGATTGTTTGTGGTTTTTAACTTTAAATGAAAATAAAGAGAGAAAAAGAAATAATTGGTCGAGTAATCATGCTCGTGATAGTGAATCAACATCGTATATTTTACACGGTGAGGTGAGCCAGCACACAGCCTCCTACACTCGCCTCACACTTTATAGGACCAAGATCTATGAGGAAACAAAATCAGAGTTAAGAATAATCTCAAATTATAATAAAATTTGGCAGACTTGCAAGCTACTCGGTGTGATATACTACGTGTATGCTGTAAACAATGGACAAATATATACTGTGGTTTTACTGTATACTATGTAAAATAAAAACAAGTTCTTCAATGACGTTTAATGTATACAAATGTTTCTCTTGATCCATTGAGAATCTCTGTCACTTCCGTTCAACATCTCATGACGGTTTTTTTCCCTAAATGTCTCGCTGAGAGAACTTGCCTGAAACAGTGCAGTTATTCTCCCAGGTTTAGTTTTTATATAATCCATCATCATAACGATTAAGGAGTTACAAAATATTACTGACTGTTATTTATATCATCATAACAACATATATTTAACCCTCCAGTGATCTTGATACCTTGGGATTTTATTCAGCTTAAAGAAAACTTGCAGCACCGAGAAGGTTCAAAACAAACACAGTTCCTCGCACAGTACGATATCTTGTTTGTGGACTTCGGCAGCAAGCACCGTCCATCACTACCCCAGTGTGGGATCCAGATATGACTGAGGTAGAATTTACGGCACCCACAGGCGAGCATTAAACTCAAATGTACATTATTCATGACTCGTCCACTAGACTGATACAACCAATTCTTGTTCTTCTCACCGGCGAACACGGCACTTGAAGGCTTTACGACCAACAGGAAGCTAAATGAAGATACAAATAATTTATGATCGCTCTTGTGTCTCGGGGAATACAGTACGGTAAACAAAGCCGATCATGTCAACTAACATCTTACAAGCACATAACTTCTTCACTGGTATCTGAGCGAGACCGTACAGACGTTCTTATCCCTTTGATGATACTGAGAAAAGTACTGTAACGGCAGGACGTACGTACACACCCACCCAGGGCCAACATCAACACAAAACATAACACTCACGGCAACATCACCACAGCACAACATACTCACCGTATTACAATAATAACACACCATAGCCCCCAGCAACATATGCAACACACAATTTAACAGTGATTGCATTGCACGAGAAGGCCAACTCGAACACATACACACACAGTCACAAAAATGTTATGGAAACTGTTGCATTTGGCAGTGTAGTATAAAACTCCCCTCCCATCCTAACCCCTTTACCAACAACGACCCCGAGCCTATGCCATGCACCCCAGCGTCCCCAGGGCAGTACAGTATACCAGCTCCACCCCTCACTACCAGCGTGTTATAGGCGCCAAACACTAGCTGGATCGACTGGGGGCAAAATGTATTCCAGTTCTAATCGGGATTTTGGTTCAATTCTAATGGATCCCAATTGTAACATACCCCCCCCCCTCCCTTCCCTAATGATTGGGTTATATTATGTTATGTTGTTAAGTTAGGTTAGGTTAGGTTAGGTTATGTTAGGCTAGGTTAGGGTGGAGCCTCTTAGGACTGGGGTTCACTAATCCACCAAATGTTAGTTTTATTTTCCCGGCGCCGTTGAACGTTGACTACATTATTTCGATATCTTATTAATATTCATTTTTTCCATTGATATATTACTTCTCTACCGTACACGAGGCGGCTATATTATCTACTTGTTCATCTGATACATAATAGAAGAAAAAAATAATATATATATATATATATATATATATATATATATATATATATATATATATATATATATATATATATATATATATATATATATATATATATATATATATATAAATAAATATATATATATATATATATATATATATATATATATATATATATATATATATATATATATATATATATATATATATATATATATTCTGTTTGGTGTTACCGTATTGACAGAGTTCAGTCATGCTGTGTAGGATGATAATACTGGCTGGACTGACCTAACAACACCCCTGAAGACTGAAACATGGATGCACAGCTGATAAAGATCGAAACATAGTCATACATAGAAATACAAGAACAATAATAAATAAATAGACCATATAATAAAATAATTCATAGATAACTAGTCCTCATAGGCCATTGTTACTTATTTTCCTGATTAAAATATCTAATTCTCATGTCCATTTCTACACCCACCTTTCCCGGCTATACCGCTCCCGGACGTACCCCCCGCCCCCCGCCAAAACTAAATTCGTTTCTGATTACCGATACAGAAAAAAAGGTACAGGAGAAAAGGTGATAAATACAGCCTGATCCCCCCTGCTCATTACTCCCAATCAATATATGTAATGTGTTGTTCAGTATTGGTTTGCCATTACACTAAATCACAGACGTCGCCGAGCCTACATAACTTCTCCCCAGCTGGAGCCACTGTGTTTATATACACCATTTTCTGTTATTGTTTTGCTGGAGGGATAACTGTGGTATTTGGGTCGGGATGTGTTTGGTTGGGAAGAAGAAAAAAAAGAAGAACGTGGAATAGGGAAAGTAAACAGAGATATAAATGGGGAGGTAATTGAGAAAAAGAGATAAAGATTAGGAAGAGAGAGATAACTGAGATAAAGATTAGAAAGAAGGGGAATGAATTAAACCAGATGACCAAAAGAGACAAGAGAGAAGCGAAAACTCAGGAAGAAAAGAAAAAGAGAGACAAGGAGAGACAGATAGAGACATATAGTGTATCAGGGGGTAACTAGAACAAGACAGGTGTCGATCATTACCTTGTGGCCTCAGCAGGTGGTGGTGACAGGACATTAGTAGCTAGAGGTCAGATCAAACTCATAATAAACATATCAATCACTGGTGCAGCTGTGTCCCCTCCTCCTCCTCTCAGGGCTGGACACTATGTTGCCGGGCTGAGTACTAGTGGCACCTCAGCCCAACATCACACTAACAAAACTGTCAATGGTGCAGCTGTGACTTCCTCCTCTTCCCAGGGCTGGATACTGTGTTGCTGGGATAAGGCTCTCATGAGGTCATCCAGCATCACGTTGAATTATTTGTCTCAAACTGGGGAGGAGAGAAGGACAACCTGGTCAAATGAACTCTTAATTCTATTATGTTTCTTATAAAGGACATTTAGTGTAATCTTTATTTATGTATAATCATGAAGAAGAAAAATCAATTGTTATAACAGCTTTACAGTCTAGTTATTATTATTGTAACAGCAGGGGCTCTTTTGTTTGTTTGTTTGTTAATTGTCACATCCTACCACATATAAAGTTCGCCATCCGTCAACCCTGAGCCACCCGACAGTCATTCCTGGAAGTTTTGTCATCACCCAGTTGTCGGGATCAGTGTGTCATTCCGGACGTCACCTCAACTTGGAATCCATCCAGTATTATAGTGCGATAGACAAGGGCTATAGTAAGGGGTATGCTTCCTTAGGCAATTTATTATAAGAGGGATGATTCAACAATACGTACAGTTGTGAGAGTCTACAATATAGTTACTGTTTATAAAGGATGGGAGACAACCTCACCACACAGTATTTCACTCACCTGTTCCCGCGTTCACCATCCAAACTAAACTAAATTTTCTCATTTCACATACTGTAGTCGGCAAGCTGATGAGTGATTTGTGCTATAGACAAGGATGACATAGACCACTCGCGGGTATCAGGAATGGATGGAATGAACTTTGAAATACTATGGATGAAAGGTGGAAATACTATAGAATGGATGAATGGATGGCAGGAGTGTGTAAGTTAAGCATGCAAGAGAATGACAGAGAGCATGAGGGTAACAATAACAAAAGAAAACGGGAAAGAGAAATAAATCTGTTGGACATATCAAAGCAAAACTTACGGCAAAATAAAAAAAAACAGGGTGAGTATTAGTGCACAAAACCAGTGTGGGTTGAGATAGAGTGTTTGAGCTGTAGAACATTGGTGAAAAGTTCTGGAGAAATAAAAGAATTATTTTATGGTGTTGATGATTCTGAAAAATATAATAAATAGACAAAAAATTGACGTAGAAAGTTAATAAGATATTGTTGTTGTGAATTTTTTTTTTAATTTTGGAGGAAGAAAAAACTGACCGCGAGTGAATTAGGACTCAGTTAAGGATAAACCATGTTAATATAGGTCTGTATGTTGATGAATGAGGTAAACAGAGGTGGGGAGAGGTTTAACTTTGGTAACTAATAAATCAAGTGTAATCAACCACTACAACAATAATACACCATCACTGCAAGAATACAGTACCACTACAACAACAATATATTACAACCACAATACAATAGGTCAGGTCTACGTTAGCTGTTTGATTCAGATTAAATTACTCACGACACAGGCAGTAAAACATTAGTCTTTCATGAAGGAATAAGTCCAGTCCAGTCCTACTTTTATTACCACACACACACACACACACGCACACGCACACATACACACACACACACACACACACACACACACACACACACACACACACACACACACACACACGGACAGACTAGCCTTCACACTTCTTGCATTGGGTTCAACTGGCTCTTCCTGCTGACCTAAATACTGTATCACTTATCCTACAGTTTCCCCCTCTTATTGCCTGCTGTGTTTTCAGACCAGTTACTAACTCTACAGATGGCGCTGATGGTGAATACACTATCCCCCTTTCCTTCAGAAACCAGTAACTCACTAAAGCACTACTCCGGCAGGCGGCGCGGGTGGGGTACGCATTACAGAGCTGGACGTGCCGCCCGTCGCGCTGGTGAAGGACGACGTTCACTTGAGATGTGACTACGAGGACGAGGGCGGCTCCTCTCTCTATACCCTCAAGTGGTACAAGGACGGCAGGGAGTTCTACCGCCACCAGCCAGGCATCTCCCCACACACCGCCGACGACCGCTGCCACGACCACCACATCTACCACGTTGACGGTGTTAACGTTGATGTGAGTCAGGGTTCAGGGTCACTAGTCAGGGGTCAAGGTCAAAAGATCACCAGTCAGACGTCAGGGTCACTAATCAGGGGTTAAGGTTACTAGTTGGGATCAGGGTCGCTAGTCAGGAGTCAGTCACCAGCCAGGGGTCCGGTGCCAGTGATGTCTCATTAATGGTGTCAGTGTAAAGAGACCGTGTGATCCATCTTTTGCTGTGAGGGATCTTGAGAGTCAGACTTTTGATACGACACCCATGTGAGACCTTTATACGTATCCTTTATTATAGGAGAGATCTAAAGAGTATCTATGTTCATGTGAGAGATCTTGTGAGCACTAGCAGTACAGTATGTAAGATCCTGTGTGCCCCTCTACTTATATGACAGATCTTGTGAGCACCCATTAGTATGTGACAGCCTGGCTTAAGTGAAGGGTCTCACGAGCCGCTCCTCCCCTCCTTTACCAGTGCTGGGTGTCGACGGAGCGGGAGGTGGTGCTCCGAGGGGTCTCCAGCAACACGTCGGGGGACTACCAGTGTGAGGTCATTGGCGAACACCCCAAGTTCAGGAAGGAGGTGCGCGAGGCCCGTCTCATTGTCTTCTGTGAGTACCTTCTTATATCATTCTCCTGACCTCTTTCATCTCCTTGTCCATTTTTATCTAAGTCATCCACAACCACATTTACAGCCCACACCTCTTCAAATCGTTTCCTCTACTCAAGTTACCTCCAGCTTATCTCTAAGTTCCACCGCCAACTATTTTCTCTAAATTCACTCCCCAAAAGTTTATAGAAGTCCGGTATTCCCCTCCAGCTCTCTCTTGTAAATTTACGCGTTATTTTTTTTCTAGGCACTGTACTCCCCTCCACCTTTATTTCCTCTGAGTTCCTCTTCAAATCGTTTTCTCCATGGAATTCCCTTGACTGTCTGCTGGAAGACTAGTACAGTATATAGTAGTGCCAAGTTTGCTGGTTTGTCATTTGCAGCCTCGGCGTTGGTACAGGCAAGTCACGTGACAGGGCCAGAGGCTGATATAAAAGGCGTGATGCCGTGTGTCTCGATATTTGCCCAACTTCTCCAATCAGTCAACGTAGTTTGCCTCTCCACCTAGTGACAGTAGTAGACAGGGTAGGACAGCAACACACACTCCGTCCATTTTCTGTAAGTTTTACCTAATACTGTACTCATCTTCAGTGATATACAGTACAGCCTCCTGTATGACCGTATGATTAAGATTTATGTCCACTTTTGTAAGAAGTTTATGGAACCTTTATATATCATTCCCCCCAACGCCTTATTTTTAGTCAGCAATTAACTGTAGCCTGTATGTCTGTTCTGGCACACAGTGTGTCACTACTGTGGTCAATTTATGGTACAAGACATAATTCAGTATTGGTTTTGTTTTGTTTCTCTTGATCAGAGATAAACAAGACGATTTTCACCTTTGATACGTTTGGCGCATTTTACCCATAACAGAGATATCGAGAGTTGAACATCAGAAAACTTGCCACTCAGGTACAAGAAGTGAGTTATGGTCAGCAGCTGACGGGCCATGCAGGTCAACACTGACGATGAGATCACGTTAGCGATGGGTCAATTATTTGACCGATGCATAATGATACTTTTGAGCGATCCAAGTGCATCGGTTACATCAGCCTGGATCCGACCCTCACACACACACACACACACACACACACACACACACACACACACACACACACACACACACACACACACACACACAGACCATAAAATAACCAGGATTACTTTAGATCTGGTAATTGATCGTGGTGGCCATTTTCAGAAGTCCGACCTATTTATTTCCGTGATCGACATGCTGTGCAGCGAGAGAACCAACATATATCCTGTCTCAACTCCCAGCCACAAGCACACACTACACTATATACACACATTTATACTCGTATATTCCAGTATAAATTGTCGTACATCTACACACTTGGTATAACAGCCAGTTTATTGTACTACATTATGAACACTTATGTAAACAATGTATTTCTTCTCACATCAACAAAGAGAACTCCAACTGAACTATACCGTTGAAATTATTAATAAAACACCCAAAATGTACTGATATTTTTCTTATGTATTGATTATAAAATATATCCAAAAATATTGAAAATGAAAAAAAAAAAAAGTTTTATAAATATATAGACTTAAAAAAACAAATCAAAATATATACATTATATTCTTCAGCATAATTCTGTCTTAGTCTAAATAGAAAATATCTTAATACTGGTTGTAAATTAATTAATAATGAATACACTTTTGAATTTAATTAAAGAATGAGAGAGAATAATTATTATTTGTTATTACTGTGTACTGTTTGTGTAGCAGATTCCACACGAAGCCTGGCCCTCACAAGGTAACATCGCCTCTAAACACCTACAACATACAGACTCTTTTTGTTTGTATAGCAACATGGGATTGCCTGAAGATAAGTCCCCAACAGATTATTTCACCTGCGAGGATTAGGTTAGGTTATGTTAGGTTAAGTAAGGTAAGGTTAGATTAAATTAGGTTATTCTAAGTTAGGTTAAGTTAGGTTATAGTGGTGAAATAAGTTGGGGGGGGGGCTAATTTTATGTAATCCGGGACATTTAAAATATTACAAGTTTCTTCCCCACTACCGATGTAATGTGGCCGAGTAGACACTGAACTCGATGTCTATCCCGAGAGTTGCTGGTTCGATCTGAGCACCTTAATACAACCTAAAATAACAACCTAACCTTTCCTGGAATAACCTAATCAGTCCTTAATGTTACCTAACCTAAACTAACCTAACATAACCCAATCTAACCTAACCCATCCCAATTCCCAACCTAACCTAATCTAAACAAATCAAACCTTAGTATTGCCTAACATGACCTGACCTGCCCTAATGTAACCTAATCTGACCTAACCTTTCCAGTGACGGGGGATAAAAGGGGAGTGACAGACGAACCGACGCCACCCGTAAATTGTCATCAGCGACGAGCGCGAAAAACTAAAACAAAGTAAATTGATGGTAATTCATCATTCGCTGACACCGGCACCCCTAAAAATAAATAGTCGCCATATTGTTTTTACGATCGCCCCCTGCGGCAAATTGGGCGAACTAGTAGTCACTGACCCCGCTAAGGTTGTGGCCAGCTTTAGGTTAAAAATAATAATAATAATAATAATATCTAATAATATAACAACAACAACAATAATAATAATAATAATAATACCCCTAACCTATCGTTATACTGTATTTCGTTACCAGTACAGACTCATCCAAGAGAACATTAACAATATAAGCGAAACTTTTATGGTAACAGTGCAGACTGAGGGTACATTGACACTGGCAACACTGGGACTGGCGGTGAGAGACTCGCCTACTTGAGGAGTAAGAGGTGAGAGTAAGAACGGAGGAGAGAGGCGGAGTTTGGAGTAGCACTGTGGTTGATTGTTGCAGAGTTTGGAGTATGGCAAGAAATGCTGGCGAGTCTCTCTCTCTCTCTCTCTCTCTCTCTCTCTCTCTCTCTCTCTCTCTCTCTACTGACAGACTAAAGAGAGACAACAGATACGATTTTGGGCAGATACTACTACTACTACTACTACTACTACTACTACTACGATGAATATACTCACCTACACTTTATATCGTAGTTAAGGGCTTCCGTTAGTCCGTCTGCAAGTCTGTCATAAAGTTACTGTAGTGTGGGCCGTCCTATGCCTGCCAGCGCTGACTAGTTGTTCTATGAGGTGTCACTGTAGGTCTACCAGTCATCCCACACTGTCATACTGCACTGAGATTAACAGTAAGAGGGTTAGTATTTAATGATGATGATGATGATGATGATGATGATTATGATGATGATGATGATTATTATTAAGAGAAAGAGGAAGAGTGATGGTGATGATGATGATAAAAAAATATTAATCAATTCAAAATTGCTTTAAACGTAACTAAATGCTTTCAAACACACTGAACACGCGAAGAAACGAGAGAGAGAGAGAGAGAGAGAGAGAGAGAGCCAACAACAGTAATGAGGGAAACAATTTGGGTCACACGATGTCCTCTGCCCCAGAATGTCAACACCCCCTACTACCACCACCATAACCGTAATTACCACTACCACCACCATCACCACTACCACCACCACCACCACCACCACCACCACTACCACCACCATCACCATAACAACACCTACCATCACCACCACTACTACTACCACCACCATCACCACCATCACCATAACAACCACTACCATCACCACCACTACTACTACTACTACTACTACATACCACTACCACACCATAACAACCACCACCACCACCATAACAACCACTACCATCACCACCACCATACTACTACCACCACCATCACCATAACAACCACTACCATCACAACACCTACCACCACCACCACTACTACTACCACCACCATCACCACTACCACTACTACCACCACCGCCGCCTTCGTTGAGTTAAGAATTTTTACTCAGCTGTGGAATCGCTACTAAGAAGGCAGCAACCACGGAGAATAAAAGCTGTTTATTGGTCATTAAGAGAGAGAAAGTGACCGAGTAAGCAGGGAGAAAGGAAGGGGAGGAGGAAGAAGGGCACTGTCGGCCAGTACTCTTCTTCCACGGCGGAAAGTGACCATTCGTGGGACAGATGAGGTAACTAGTGAGGTTGGTCAGTAAAGTACAGCTTATGGGCTTTATAAGTAATGGTAAGTGGGTCCTGTAGTGCCGAGGCTGTCTGTACTGTAGTGATAAGTAGTTCAGTAGAGGTGGCAAGTGGCAGGTACTGGCACTTGGTAAGTAAGAATGAAGAGTGATGGACAGTGAATGGTGGAGACTTAGAGTGAAGGAGACTTAGAGTGAAGGAAACTTAGAGTGAAAGAGACTGGGTGATGGAGACTTAGAGTGATGGAGACTTAGAGTGAAGGAGACTGAGTGATGGAGACTTAAGAGTGATGGAGACTTAGAGTGAAGGAAACTGGGTGATGGAGACTTAAGAGTGAAGGAGACTGAGTGATGGACACTTAGAGTGAAGGAGACTAGGTGATGGAGACTGAATATTGAGACAGACAAACAAACAGACAGAGGCAGTACAGTATTAGGGAGTTGTTGCTTGTCACTCCTGCTGCCAGTAGACGAGAGGAGGAGTAGGTGGAGGAGTGTGAGACCCGGGGAGGACAGAGGTGGGTGGGGCGGGAGGGGTTACACGGTCGGTCACGAACTTACATACAGCAGTTCGTTACGGGTTAATGGTACAAGACGGAAAGCTATACCGTACTGGACCTCGGGTAGGGGAGGGTCTAACTTTTCCAGACAATAATGGCTCGAGGGACAAGGTGGCCCTGAGGGTGTTACAGTATAGCCGACGGAGGCGGAAAATCACTATAAGGTTCACCAGAGGACAAGTCCCACCCTGATGTTTTTTCAGTGACGTCTGGTGATCCTAGAGGTGCAGATATTGTGTGTAGCGGGTGAGCTGTGACGCACCGTGTACGCTTGTCGTGGGAGATGCATCTACAAGAAAATGTAGGCGTATATAATATTCCTTAGTGATGAGCGATACAGTACAGGGCGACAAGGGACCCGCAGGTTG